GATCTTTTTCGTCGCGCTGTGATGACGTCACATACGCGATTTCGTCGACCGCGCTTTTGTGGAATGCGGTTTTGACGGGTCACGACTGGTAGGATGCTGCAATGGCTTGGGCCAGTTGTAAGTTGCTTTTTTTCAGTACTTTGTAACTTCGAACAATTGCTAAATGGATGGTTGCTAAATGGAAGGACTATCTACTGTCAGCTACTGTGAAATGTAGCCAAAGTGTGTTTGCAAAGTGAAACATCAACTGAGGGCCTGAATGGAGGTCAGATTTGGACAGAGCTTTTGCAAATTAAAAATTAAAAAAAAAAATCTTCTGCACTCAGTTCAGAACAGCCAAATAAATAATAACCTCTCAATAACAGCCATGAATGGGATCTGCCCTCTTTTTTCTCTCTCTCCATATCTATTGTTACTTTAAATTCAATTTTTTTTACTACCGGTTCTGTGGCGTGGCTTGGTGGGCGTGACAGGGAAAGGATACTGCAAAATCTCAATTCCTTCCCCACTCCAGGGGAAGGATACTGCAAAATCTCCATTCCCATCCCACTCTGGGGCCAGTGAGAGGTGGTATTTGCCGATTCTCTGAACTACTCAAAATTTCCACTACCGGTTCTCCAGAACCTGTCAGAACCTGCTGAATTTTGCCCCTGCTTTAACACATTGCATGCAAAACATCATGTCCAGTCACCCGTCAGAGGACAACAAATGACAATGAGAAAGCTCTGAGTTCAAATTTCACTCCAACTCCTCTCTTTCTTCTTTCCATTTGACTCCTCCTGGGATTAGCAAGGGCATGGTGAAGAAATGGCTTGGCTGGACCTTAACACTCCTATATTTTTTTTTTCCTCCTCAGCTGCATCAGGAGATGATGGCAGGTACTCTGTCTCCTCTTCACCTGTTTTTGTTCCTAATTCTCCTGTGAGATTGCCTACTTCACCCATCCTGTATCGACCCGGTTTGACAACAAACTCCCCTGAATCAAGTTTCGGAAAGTGCCAGAGTCCAATACAATGCAGGATAAGACAAAAGGAAGATGGGAAGGTAATGAGCGGGAAAAGATTTGAATTCATGGAGGGTGGCCTTAGACAGGAAGAAGAGTTTCTAGCTGTTCTGATCCAGGCTTCCCAAGATCACGAAGCAGACTCCTCGTCCCCAAAAAACCTCTTTTATTTAGGTTAAAGGGAATTCCTCTCCAGCAAAGTCCGGGCCAACAGTCTTTCATGAGATGTCACAACCACAGAACCTTTATTAGGCTTGGAGAGTTGCCAGGCCGATATCTTCCAAACGCCACTCTGTAGCAGACAATACTTGGCAAGAAGTTAGGAACAGATCTTCACCCTAATGAATCAAACTAATTGTCTCCTGCAAACTCCCCTCCCCTTTCGCTCCTCTTTTATTCCCTATGGGAGGGGGAATTCACTGTCCACCTGTGTCTTTTACTCCCAAGTTAGCCCTTGTTCCTTAATTGTCCCCTTCTCCTGGCAACTCTGTGCATGCGCATATCGGGAACAGACTCCAGCTGTGCTTCTGCCCCACTGATATCCAACTCCAAAGGCAGCTGATAACTGGCATGTGGCTCTGGCCCCCTCTCTCCCTCCGATGCAGAGCCCTCATCAGAGCCTTCCCCAGACTCCAGGACCGGCCCATGTTCCTCTCCAACCTCCTCACTGGCCGAGTCTGCTGCCAGCTTCGCTGGCCACTGGCGGGCCACAACAGTAGGAATAACAATTGGTCAGGATGGCTACATGCAGCCTCCAGGATCAGAGATAGCTTATCTCAAAACACAATTGGCCAAGGATCACTAGAAGTACCTTAAAGACCAGAAGGATTTTTTTACTGCTATTAGAGTCTGCAAGAATGATGGCTAAGCCAGGCTCATCTGTGATCAGAACCACAGAACTCCAATAGAAGAGAATATCTTAGAACACAGAATAAGAGTTGGAAGGGATCCTGGAGGTCTCCTAGTCCAACCCCCTGCTTGAGCAGAAGACCCTTTATCATTTCAACAATCAAACAGTCTCTTTTTGAAAGCCTTAAGTGATGGAGCACCCACAGCCGAAGTGGCGCAGTGGTTAAATGCAGCACTGCAGGCTACTTCAGCTGACTGCAGTTCTGCAGTTCGGCTGTT